TATATATATAATGTGTGTTTACAATAATTTACATTTAATGTCATAAAATGTTATTTTGTGACATTTGATAAATTTGCATAAACAAAGGAAGGAAAGAAGAGAGAAACACCTCAATCTATGTAAGAAAATGTTAAAAGGGTACTCCTTTTCTAGTTAAATCTGAGCGTGCCACAATGCACTTTAAATACATAAATTATATGATATATGTACGCAGTTAAAATGTCAAGAAATAATTACGTTGACTTTAGATTAACGTAACGCCTTTACACTACGTTTGGTCCTCCACGCGCGCCGTAGAAGCATGTTGCCGGTTGGAGGGTTTCGCGAAAAAGTTAGCAAAGTGCTTCTGAACGCCACTGGAATGAAGGGATTCTCCGGGTAAGAAATAATAGCATGTATGTCACATCAGCCTGCATGTTTATGGGATGCCAGCACTGTGACTCAGTAACAGAATGGTGAAACTGACAGCTGCAGGGTTTCTGTATGACAGAAGTATAAACACGAACGTTTTGCTAAATGCATATTAGGAATTGAACAACATCCGGCAGCTAGCTAAGCTTACAAACAATACTGAGGTGTCGGATGGTGATACCATGATATTAAATGATTACTTTATTCTTCTAATATGGTGCTTACGTGGTACGCCAACTTAGAAAATACCTTAGTACGTGTCCAGAAACCGTGGTACAGTATTACTGTGGCGCATGTCCATTGTGTTAGTACCATAGTATCATTACAAAACAGACGTATACCAGCTAACTTAGTCTAGCCAGTCAAACTCAGCATCACTTAAACAATGATGCATTATTGTGGACACACAAGCAGTGCAGAGCAAGCAGTAAAGAGCTGAAGCCTTTGTGCATGTGGACAAGTTTAGCCATAGGCTGGAAATCCCTGGAATATTTTCAATTCTCTGCTTTGCTGACAAAAGTGTGTAAAAATGATCTGATAAAACAAACAACTAGTTTGTCAACATGTACACACAAACCTCCACCTACAAGAATGATGAAAATGTGAGTCAAACATGACTAAATATTGTTTTATAACATCTTACGGCATTTTCTTTATGCGTTGTCCACCACCTGTCCTTACTGAATGCAAATAAATCTCAAGTTTAAACTAATAACTCTCAGACATTTTAACATTTTATTTCAAAATATCACCCTTTTGCAAAATTACAATCTGCAGCAACATAGAAATCCACTTTTTTTTTAGTTGAATTAAAGTAGCACTCGGACGTGTAGCATTTAGGCTTGTATTGTTTTGACATAAACTGTCTTAAG